AACTATACGTTATACTACTGAATGTTTTCGACCCGTTTTCCTTTCTCGCTTTTTGACCCATAATCAGCTTGAGTGAGCAACTTGCTTCTCCTGGGTCTCAAAGCTGAGTGGGAGCTGTGTTAAAGCCAGGCCTCCACATTAGAATCTTATAATATAAACGTGCGCTTAATAGTATGTAAAACGTACTCTTAAAAGTACATAAATTCAGTTTTCCTTAAATTGTTTTTAACGGTTGTATTAATTAATACCTTTTCCATTTTACATATCAGATATTTGGACAAGGCCATTAAAAGGCCCCAGTAAAATACAAAATATAAGATTTGGTCTAGTTCTATTAATAGAACTATATTTACTTTCCAAATCTATTTATATCTGAATACTTGGTAGCGAGATGGCTCAACCGAACATAGGTTTCTAAGGACTATTAGCGTTGCTTTAGTGTATATTATAAAGGTTATAGAACCAACGATATAGCAACGATTTGTCGTCTATGGCTGCGTTCACCAGGCAAGCTTCTATTTATTTATACTGTAACTATTTAACGAAGCATTGGAAGCAATAATGTGATATTATGGTCGAAACATTTTGGCGCGCAACTGTCATGAACTCACGAGTCATGACTCATCACCACCAGTTTTTTTTCTTCACTATTTTTCATAGCCTTCTTCGGAAATTTGTTTTCAAAAAACAGCGGAGGGCTATGCAGTATGTATTCATGTATTTTTTCTATATCGTATGATAGGTACATAACCTACGGAGCACAGTACATACCGAGAGTCACTCGTGCATGTGTGTGAACCTATCGCGTTGAAACCAGGTGTCGACCTGACGGGAAATCATATATTTTTTTTCAGTTTAGTATGTATTCAGTATTTAGTGGGACATGATCTATTGATCACTCTGGCCTTTCAGAGCCTTCCTGAGCGATCTCAATTAAAATACAGCCTCGTGACGTATAGTTGTCGACTTTCATGTGTTTTCTTCAAAATATACATTGAAATAAGTACTATTCCCTTATGCATAAATAAGGTTCAATGCCCTATATTCTATGTGTTTATGCGGTTTCACCTCTATCCTGTGTACAGAGTTCGATCGCCTTTACCCAATGGATAGGGTTCGCTCGCATAGGGGTATTACTTCGGTAGGAGTCGGCTAAAAGATCATACACAGCATCCGATTCGCTTCCTTAGTCGCAGAAAGGGTCTATCGTGTACTAGGGTGTATAGGGTTAGACGAAGTACAATGGGTCATCCAGCAACAATCTGTTGCTGTACTTTATCAGTACAACTGACCCAGCCACGTACTACTGCCAGAAGGGTCTATCGTGTATGTATTAGGGTGTATAGGGTTAGACGAAGTACAATGGGTCATCCAGCAACAGTCTGTTACTGTACTTTATCAGTACAACTGACCCAGCCACGTACGACTGCCAGAAGGGTCTATCGTGTATGTATTAGGGTGTATAGGGTTAGACGAACTACAATGGGTCATCCAGCAACAGTCTGTTACTGTACCTTATCAGTACAACTGAATCAGCCACATACTACTGCCAGAAAGGGTCGTGGATGTGCTACTTTGGTGAGTGGCAACTTATTATTGTAAAATTTGTGGGATGCCGCTGAGGTGGGGCTGTTCCTGACCACAGAGATGGCCATGATACTAGCTTAGGTAGGCAGACCTGTCAAGGTGGAGACAGTATGAGGTAAGTACCATTACACCGACCAAAACAAAAACGTGTGCCTATGAGGTTATGTAGTTAAGTATAAGTGCTCAATATATGATTTGTAAGAACACTATATACTGAGTCAGGTTCCTTTATTTGGGACATTTTATGTAGTGGCGGCAAATGGGTACAACCCTACATGGTCACAGATCCCATTCGAAAGAATCAATTTCCGTGGAATGACGACATCGGTTCGCAACGCTCTCACTGGTTGATATTAGAATATACCTACATGAAGCACAAAACTGGGTGATTTTAGAATATACCTACATGAAGCACATACACTCTTAACATATATGCACCTCAATACATCGTGTTCCAAGCGTGCGCGCTAGGCATATGGGTACTCGGGAATCTCGAGTACTATCCAGTATTGTCACGAGGCGTGCAATGGTCTGAATGCAATTATAGTACAGAATGTGCTAAAACATGATCCGGGAAACTAGTAAACTCCATGCAGAAAATCTCTTAATTTTCTATATTCCTTTTGACATGCACAGATACAATCGCTGCACATCTCGATACCGGCTATTTTTAGAGCAATAGTTTCGTATCATACGCGTGCTCGGTTGAAGACTTTACTATCCCATATTGCAGACTTATGGAATACATGGTTGTGGTTGCAGCTGTGGAGACGCGTATAAAAGCAACATACAGGGATGAATTTTATTTTCATGTGGACGTTTTTATATAAAGGGTTTAACATACATGTATGAATTTCATTTTCATGTGGACGTTTTTTATATACAAAAGCTACGCATTCCGATACCCGCTACACATAGAGAGCCACAGCTCGGTATCGTGCGCTTGCTCAGTTATAAACCGCATGGTCTTGGCTAATTATTGGGTACTCTCCATAGAACGCAGACGGATCTTACCCACACTCTAGTGAGTGTTGTTTTAAAAGGGATTTCCGATCGGTCGTGTGGTTATCTGTCGTTCAGACAGCCAGATGATGCCCAGACGCAACAGTTCAAGGCGACGGAGCGATCTGTGGCATTTTGAACGAGATCTTTGGCGTTTCTTCTGTGGCATTTTCGAGTGCTCTGTGGCATTTTCACGCTTGCTGCTGCGTTTCCAAGGATCATTTGTGTTCCGTGGCGTTCCTACATCCTTTGCATAAAGTAATCTGTAGAGGGTATGATTGAAATGGGACACTCTTTAATACTCCAAAACAAAAGTCGCACATACTTCCGACCGAAAACTCAAGTGTGGTGAAACGTGTGCACCTGTTAGAGTTCTCAAACACCCATTACATGCGGTAGAGCTCGTATCATGTTTGACATCTACCCGTAATTGCGACATCTACCCGTGATTGCGACATCTACCCGTAATTGCGACATCTACCCGTAATTGCAACTTCGATTCCAACTAATTACCAAATTAAACCACTCTTGGGAGGTCTTGATTTCACGGCACACGCTCTGATACAATTAGCATGCTTGCAGGTCATGCTCAACAGCCGCGCAAGCAACAATCTATGCATACTCTGAGTAACTAAGACCATTATACACAGCGATTCTATCAATAGATTGCTCGAGCCTTGGGTGTTGTGCTCGAATACACCATCCAAACGATGACGATACAATGCACCATGGACCATCTCCGATGCAAAACAACAGCAGCAAAGGAAACAATAGCCTCCGCAAAAGTCAGAAGAAAAGCATATGACCAACTCACATACACCAACCACATAACTGCACATTAATAAACAGCCACTTTTAAGAGGTACAAATATAATATGAACTGTTATATAATATGATACGTATAACAGAACGATATTGTATAAGTATGAACTAATAGCAGCCGAGAACGCAAAAAAAAAATTGGGGCACGCCCACTACTGCAGCATACCAGACACACTCACAACAAGACTACACATTTACACACTTACAACACTGATACACTGTGCAACATAACTGTATACAAGAACCTCATAATAGGCCCACTGCTGCAGCATACCAGACTCACTCACAACAAGACTATATATTTACACATTTACACACTTACACACCGATATAGTGTACAACATAACTGTATACAAGAACCTCAATAATAGGCCCACTGCTGCAGCATACCAGACTCACTCACAACAAGACTATATATTTACACATTTATACACTTACACACCGATATAGTGTACTACATAACTGTATACAAGAACCTCAAAATACAGTAGGGCGCACACCGTTCTACACATTCATATTCACCAATAGCAAAAAAAAACAGCAAAACTGGCATAGCCCAATACTGCAGCATGTCAGACACGCCCGTAAAACGACCACGACCACGACCAAGTATTTAGACATTTATACAATTAACCACAAACACAGCACACACCATATCTATGTATACAAGCCTCGAACTACAGTACATATACATAAGTATACCCCCTAAAACCTACCAATAGCGGCTGAGAAAGCAGCAAAACCGGCACAGCCCATTACTGCAGCATGAGGGCCAGCCCTCATTCCCAGGACACCCCCCGTTGTGCACCCGGATAATAACCCATTCCAGTGATCTGACTTCGCTCTAGCTGTCTCTATTACACACTAAGTAGTGATGTTATAAGAGAAGAATGTCATTAACAAACAATTGCTTGGGGAAAAAACCATATTAGTGATCTGACTTCACACTGACTGTCTCTACCAAACACAGCATGGTATACTCATATTGGAAAGAATTCGGGTTTGTTTATCATCAAGTACTATGATGATCTAGTCGAGTGATCCGACTCCGCTCTAGCCGTGTCTCTGTCACACACTATATAGTTTATATTTCTAAAATAAAAATCGTACATGTCAATGATCCGACTTCGCTCTGGATGTCAATACTATGTAACATCGCACTCCAAAGACATGACCCCGCCCTAGTCTTGTTTGTTCAACCACTGTGATCATACCGATAATAACTGTAATACCATTGTACAGCATGTTTTTGCCATGCTCGCCTATGATTCCCCAGGTTATATAACACATGTTCAGGCCTTCCGGAGACATCGATGCCTATACTATATACGAATGCAAGCTCGCATACTATATATGATCGCGCAGGCATTGAAATCATACCCATGCTAGTGTATATAGATACATGCAAATACGCCTACAAACCTCATTGACACGCACATACCCACATATGCTGCAAACAGATACTATTCGTGGCGGAGTTCACAATGGCGTGAGTACACTTGCCCATACCACGTACCACATGTGCGGTTTGCTATTCTTTGTTCAAGTCTATAAGTGTGAGCCCCAAGGGATGTATTCCCTACACGCATGTGTACACATACGAATTAAGCAAGCGCACATACACCACAAGACCAGTACATACACATGTTGTGTGTATACGGACGGCCCTCATGTGTACAACAACACCCTGTCATGAAGCACACATCCACTCGTACTCACCTCAGACCCCGCAAACATAACACCGATCATGGCCAAGTTCTTTCCCATGGCGTGACTGCGTTTGCCCATATCTCGTATAACATCTCTGGCCTTCTGCTTCTTATCCGGGTCGATGGGCTCCATACTACCACCGATCAATCCCAGAACGGCACCGAAACCATAACCTGGTTGAGTGGGATACACAGTACCAAGCGGCGAATTAAACCGATGACTTTCAAATGGCAGTCAAGCGTGCGTCGTGCCATAGTAACGGTGCAACTATGCGTATCTACGTGATCTATAAACATATATATATTCTGCGCATCTCAATACAATATTGCATGGATACAAGAATACGGATGAAACCAACGCAGGTGAACTGATAGTCAGTCTCTCACTGTACCACAGGCATCCTGAGCTGATACCACATCATAGTTTAGGGTTTAGGGTTTTGGGTTGTGGTTTAGCGTGACACAACACATTCGCCTGCCCCATTGGACAACTCGCAACATGTGCCTTCAGTAATTGTACACACCCTGCCTCTCCAATTACTAGGCTCAACCTTACTTCAGAAGGCCAGTAAACCCCTACCCACAATTAACCCGGCAAAGTAAACTATCGGATCGATTGAGTTGAGTGGCAGTGCCACATGCGTAGCATCTACTTCTCTCGTCACACTTACCTTCCACTGTGCATAGAGATACGCCGACAGCACTCTGTACAAACCAGTATCGTCCACTGCAATAACCCGATTGCATGACTACTACATGCAGAAGTTCGGTACAATCAAACGTACCTACCACCTACTGTCCCAATGGACAATCTACAGAGACTGCTACCATAGCTTGATGGGATAACCCGCACTATCAACTGCTACACATACACAATGAACGCAAACAATAGCTACGCGTACATGATCCGAAAGCACGTGACAAGAGTGCATTGAGCTGGAACTTTAATGTGTATGTTCCGTATAAAGTACACAATACCTTTTACTGTACAGATGGGCTTCCTGACGTGATAACTACGCGTGCATAATCTATATGCATGCATCAACAGATACATTGAGCTGAGTATTACATTTATATGCTTGGTACAGTGTCAAACACTTGCTTACCTCGGCTTTGATCCTTCACGTATATGCTCGATATATGATAAACCCATACCTCCAAATATACTGATTAACATCCTGCAGTTATGCGTGCAAAATACAAACACACGCATCAACAGATACATTGAGCTAGGTCTTACATGTATACCATTGACATAGTGTAAACACTTGCTTCCCACAACTTGGATCCTCCACGTATACGTTCTAATATTATATAGACACATACCACCCACTGTACTGATAGACATCCTAAAGGGACAGCTTTCAAAGAAGGACTCGACCATCACTTGCTCGGCTGACTTCATGGCGACGCTCAACTTTGAGTGTTTTAATGTGGGCAACTGTGCAAAGATAATAGTGAGATGTTTAGCGAGGGGTACTTATCCTGAGACTAAAGACTAAAGTAACACACAACTAGCGAATATTCAATGAAGGGGACTAGAATGGACGCAATTCAACTTATGGTTCAGAGTTGCTGTAAGTTGTTGATTGAGATATGACAACAGCACCTTGTAGATAAGTGCTCACATCATTGGACTATATATATATATATATATATATATATATGCGTACATATATCTACGTATATATATATATATATGTGTGTGTGTGTGTGTGTTTGTATTTGTATGTGTGTGTGTGTGTATGAGAGAGTATATGAATATATATAATATACGT